CTACTTAAAAAGGTGGACATCAATCTACCATTTGATCCAGCAATACCACTCTTGGGGATATACCCAAAAGACTGTTACTCCAGAGGCACCTGCACATCCATGTTTATTGCGGCACTATTCACAATAGCCAAGTTATGGAAACAGCCAAGATGCCCCAGCACTGACGAATGGATTAAGAAAATGTGGTATCTATACACAATGGAATTTTATGCAGCCATGAAGAAGAACGAAATGTTATCATTCGCTGGTAAATGGATGGAATTGGAGAACATCATTCTGAGTGAGGTTAGCCTGGCCTCAAAAGACCAAAAATCGTATGTTCTCCCTCATATGTGGACATTAGATCAAGGGCAAACACAACAAGGGGATTGGACTATGAGCACATGATAAAAGCGAGAGCACACAAGGGAGGGGTGAGGATAGGTAAGACACCTAAAAACTAGCTAGCATTTGTTGCCCTTAATGCAGAGAAACTAAAGCAGATACCTTAAAGCAACTGAGGCCAATAGGAAAAGGGGACCAGGAACTAGAGAAAAGGTTAGATCAAAAAGAATTAACCTAGAAGGTAACACCCACGCACAGGAAATCAATGTGAGTCAATGCCCTGTATAGCTATCCTTATCTCAACCAGCAAAACCCCTTGTTCCTTCCTATTATTGCTTATACTCTCTCTACAACAAAATTAGAGATAAGGGCAAAATAGTTTCTGCTGGGTATTGAGGGGGGGAGCGGGAGGGGGTGGAGTGGGTGGTAAGGGAGGGGGTGGGGGCAGGGGGGAGAAATAAACCAAGCCTTGTATGCACATATGAATAATAAAAGAAAAATGAAAAAAAAAAATTCAAGCATCCATAACAATAAAATGAAAGGAATAAATTGGTGAACTGTTATAAAACAAAACACAGTAAAGAGAGCATAACTGATTTACTGCTATTTGCAATAATATGAATGAGTCTGACAAACACAATATTTGTTGAAAAAGCCTAGATGCGAAAAAATGCATAATGCATGATTCCATTTATATGACACATTTATATGGCACAAATGAGCAAAACTGCCATCATTTGGATGTAGTTTGTCCCCTAAGGGTCCGGGTGGTATTGGAAGGTGGAGTGGAACTATTACAACATGCAGCCTTGTAGGAGGTCTTTAGATTATTGAAGCCTCTGCCCTCAGAAGGCATCAAAGGCCTTTGGGAAAAAGAGAAATACTAGCCCCACCTAGCCCTTTTTCTTCCTGTTTAGAGGTGTCATCCTTTCTTCTGTGTGCAGTCTACTATCTGCCATGCAGTCCTTACCAGAGGACTTTCATCCTCCAAAACTATGAGCTAAATAAACCTTTTTCTTCATAAGTAGTCTTCCCCAGGCATTTTGTTATGGCAATGAAAATGGACTAATGAACCCCATAGCATAATACTGGATGTATTTAGGTAGAAAAGAAGGTAATGAGGAGGAGGAGACATAACAGAACACTTGGGGTTTGGAAAATTTCTTTTTCTTTTTTTTTTTAATGCCACTGGGGTTTGAACTCAGGGCCTCATACTTGCTATGCAGACATTCTTATTGCTTGAGTGACTCCACCAGCCCAAAATTATTTTTCTTGATCTGTGTATTGATGACTTTGTGGTGAACTTGCTGAACTATACATTTAAGATGTATGCAACATTCAGAAGGTTTATTTAAGAGACAGTTTTTGGTTGGGCGTGGTGGTGCACACTCATACTCCAACGTACTCTGGAGGCTGAGGCAGGAGGATTGCTTGAGACCAAGAGTTTGGGACCAAACTGGGCAATATAGCCTCAAAAGGAAAATAAAGAATTTTAATCATAGTTCTACCTGAGCCAGGGTTTGCATTCTTTGTCACTTCAGGCACTTCACCTGTTCATCCATTTTTGGTTGTGTCAGGAAGTGGTTTTGATGTGAGACTCATTATACTGGGAATTGAAATCTTGATTCTAACATGAGATCTTGTACTGATGCATTAGTTATGCTTCACTGAGTCACCAATTCCTCATCCCTCAAAATAAAGTAGGGATTATACTAGTGTATCTCTGAAATCTCTCCCATCTCTATACTCTGATTCTTTCATTCTCTAGAGAGAGCCATGCAAGAGCCTCAGAAGAAGGAGGAACAGAGCAGGGACATCCATCTCCTAAGAAACAAAACTAAATTCCTTTAAAGAGAGTCACTGAATTCACTTAACTAAAAAAAAAGGTAGCAGAGTTCTTTTAGAGTCCAGAGTTATGTGAGTCAAGCAGTAAAACAACTTATTTTTGTTGTCCTACATAAAGGGCTCACCAAGACCTGGGATTACTCAAATTCTAAAGCTTATAAAGTCAAACTTCTCTGACCTCCATTTTAATAAATGACTACAGCAAATATTCACTAAATTAATGTTCATTTTGAAAGTCACAGATTAAGTTGATTTAGCATATTGAATCATGGCACAGAATGAGTAAATGTTGGTCAACCCAGATGAAGTGCATATCTTGCACGGAGGGAAGTGTATAAGAAACAAGGGCTCAGTTCTACCACCTGCCTCTGTGTGTCCTTGGCCAAAGCTCAGAATCTCCAAGGTCCAGTTTCCTCATCCCTAAAATGGGAATAATTTAACCTTAGGCAAAGGAAATTGGGAGAATCCAAAGGGAAATGGCTGTGAAATTTTTTTGTAAATTGAGTCCCTGTAAACATGACTGATAAAACATTTTGTATCTGGGGTTTTGACAAAACTTAATTTTCCCTTACTCAGTTTGAAATAACTACAGTAATCCAGCATTATTCATAATAACTAACATATAGAAACAACTTAAGTGTTCGTCCACAGATGACAGGCTAATGAAATAGTAGTGTATCTGGACATAATGTAATATTATTCAGCTTTACAAAAGGAGGTATGTCATTTGGACAATATGGATGTACCTGGAGGACAGTATGCGAAGTGAAATAAGCCAGGCACAGAAACAAAAGTACTTATCATCTCACTTGCATGCAAATCTAAATAAGCTAGTCAAATAAACAGAAGCAGACAGCAGAATGGTGATTATCAGGGTGGGGAGGAGGAGGAAATGGGGAAGAAGTACGTCAAATAGTACAATTTGCAGTTAGGGAGGATGAATAGGTCTGGACAGCTAAGGTACAGCAGAGGAACTATAGTTAATAATATTGTATTTATACTGAAAACTTGTTGTAAGTGTAGATTTTAGGTATTCTTAACCCAAAAGAAAAGGTAACTATGTAAAGTGATGCATATGTAACTTTGACTTTGGCAATCATTTCACTGAGTATATCAGAATATCCTCTTGTATGCCTTAAATATATACAATAAATGAAAACAGAAATCACTGTTCTAATCAGTTAGAACAATACAATGATATCTTTGCAACACAAGTCTTTGAAAAGCATCGTCATTGAAACCAAGTGATGAATATCATTCCACTGAGAGATCCTCATGACCACAAAATGCACTATGGTCCTCTTTGCTGTGGGACTTCTTACAGAAGCCCCTATCTTCTACCCGCCCCCCGCACCATGTGCAGAGAAGCACATGACCTTCCTTGCTGTGTATTACTGTATTCCTTCATTCCTGGTAAAGGCAACAGAAGCAGCTGTTGATTCTGGACTGGAGACACACACACACACACACACACACACACACACACACACACACTCACACACAGACACACACACACACACACACACACACACACACACAGACACACACTTCCTTCTGGAGAGGGAAAAGGTGGAGCATGATAGTAGAATAGTCCTCTTCAGGCCAGTGCTGTCTCCTGCACAGAAACATCAGTTTGAACAACTATCCACATGTGAAAGTAACTTCACAAGAGCTGAGGAAACCAGGTGAGAGACTATAGCACCTGCATATAGCATTTTAATAGGGAAAGTCACCGTGGAAAGGGTAGAAAGGACAGTTTTATGTTACCCGTGTCACCCCTCCCCCATGCCCAGCAGGCACAGCATGGAGTTGATGAGTTTCCACTGCTGTGAGAGAAGTGGAGGAAAGCCTGCACAGGACTTTGCCTTGGACCCTCAGTTACCTGGCCAAACTTCACCTTTGTACAGAAACGCTTGTTTATTATTTTTAAAAAATTTCTTCTCTGTAGGAAAATGAGCCTATTGTTTTGTGAAGTCAGTGGGGTGTACGTTTAGAATATGTTTTTGGAGTTTAGTTTCGTTTTGTAAAATTGTTCTTGAGGCAGCTGTGGAGAAGCCATAATGCGCCCCAGTGGGCTTCAGAAGATGTCATTCAAGTCTCAGTTCTGCTACTTTTGAGCCACGTGACAGAACAGGTCTCCTCCTCTCCCACATTCTCCCTTTTTTCATTTTAAATACGAAAAATAACCTCTGCCTGCAGGTGCTTTGTAGAATGTTTAATAGGAAAAGGTATGTGTCTTTACTTAGCTAAGTAATTACTTTACATGTAATTGGTTATTCAAGATGTAAGAATTTTATCAGCTGTTTCATGTTTAGGCAGCTGTAATGTTAGTATAGCACACTAAAATTCTTCAACAGACCTCCATTTTCAAGGAAAGTATTCTAGTTTTTGAAAGGCATTGATGCATAAACATTAGTTTATATTCAAGGGATAAAGTACATGCATTGCCTTCAATGTCACAAATTCCCAACTTGTAATCAGTCCAAGAATCCACAATTTTGAACATTTTATTAAATAATTTATTTCCTTGGTCCTCAAGTCTGGCTGTATATTGGAAACACCTAGTGTGTTTAAAAAACTAATCCTTGGGCTCCCGCCCAGACTAGTTACACACAAATCGCCAGGGTGGGGCAGTGGAAAGGAAAGCAAGACTAAAGAACACCTTCTTTTCATGTTTTTCAGTGGGCCTGAGTCCACTCAGAAGAGAGATTAAAGTACACCTTGCTGATTAGTCAGTGTTACATCATAGTCTCATAATGAATTAGCCACAAGTGTTATAAAAGCTTTGGATTGGAAGCTCACAGTTGTCTCAGGAAGAAGAGAAGCCTTCAATGGCTCTTGTCCTGGTGCTGGTGCTCACTCTCTCCTGTCTGCTTCTCCTTTCATTCTGGAGGCAGAGCTCTGGGAGAGGGAAGCTCCCTCCTGGCCCTACTCCTCTCCCGCTCATTGGAAATGTCCTGCAGATCGACATTAAGAACATCAGCAAATCCTTGACAAATGTAAGTATGTTTTGTGTTCCTGTAGTGGCTGACAAAGGCTAATTAACTATTTCTTTTAAATAAAATACATAGCTGGAGGCAAATTTTAAGCAACTTTATGTAAAGCAAATATTCCATGTAGTTTTTTTGGTGTGTCAGAAATACTGGAATGGTACAATGCATCTTTTTTTTTTTTTTAAATTAGGATGTATCTGTTGTACAGGGGATTCACTGTGACAATTTCAAATAGGCTTATATTGTACATTGGTTAGATAATACCCACTGTCTATCCCCCTTGACTCCCTGCTTGCCTCACTTAAGAGATTTCTTTGTTCTATTTTGTGTAAGTATATGAAGTACATCAACCATATTTCCTCACGTTAATCTTCTTTGTTCACCCTTCTCCCTCCCACAAGTACCCCCGACCCCACAGGCTGGTATAATGCATGTTTCCAGTAGAGAAATATTTAAGTTGAAAGATAGACTCAAAATAATAAAGTACTGCTACCTTCTTTGTTCCACAGTTGTTTGCTGTGACTTTTTGCTAAAGTAAATGGTAATGGAAGTGTTTTGAGAATAGAGTTTTTATTTAAGAAGTCATCTACTGTACATGCTCTGTTTTTTGCTTAGATTAGGCATGATAATTAAGCTTCTCCAAAGAAGGAAATTACATCTGATGTCAAGTAAACATCTATGGGTCTACAATAAATATATGTGAATGAACAAAAGGAAGAATGAATGAAGACCATCTGGGTGGTATCAGGATGCTTTTCAGCTCTGCACAAAGCTGCTGTCTGTGACCTATGAATGCACAGCATGAAGCAGTTTTTCTTCCATGGGATACAGCATGCCTTGCATTGCCAGGTTTCTGAATTAATACCAGCAGATCCTACGTTAGGCTGCGTTAGAATCATCTGGATTTAAAAAAAAAATGTAGATGTATAGTATTTATCACAGGAGTACTGAGTCAGATCCTCATGGGAAGAGCTTAGCAGGTGGTCCTGAAGCAGTGTCCTATTGTAGGTGGGTATTGGTCCAAATGTGGGCACTGGGGACTGGTAAATTGCTCAGGTATCAGAGATCAACTAAGCAGAGTTGAAATTTGAGTTTTCTTCTTATTAGCTATGGTATGGTGAAATAAATGTGAAATTCTTTGAATTTTGGATTTTTTAATGTGTAAAGCAGAATAAATCGACCTAGTTCGAGGTGGTTACTAGCTGTGATAGTCTGCACAGTAATTCCCTGGAAATTTCAGACAAGTGGGAATCATTTTGTATGTGGCGAGTATAACAATCACCATCTTATTTGTGTATGAATCTAGCAAGATTTGAAGTTGTGTGACAGAATAAAAATATCAATGATAGGATGACACAGTGACTGCTGCACAATATGTAGATCAAATACTGACTTCTTTTGCTGCTATTTGAATGTCCTTTCCACTTTCCAGTTGTCGAAAGTCTATGGTCCTGTGTTCACTCTGTATTTTGGCTTGAAGCCATCTGTGGTGTTACATGGATATGAAGCAGTGAAGGAAGCTCTCGTTGATTTAGGAGAAGAGTTTGCTGGGAGAGGCAGTTTTCCAGTGTCAGAAAGAGTTAATAAAGGCCTTGGTAAGTGTGCCCTTGCATGTGACATGTGTGTGATGTGGGCTGTGGTCATGTGATGAGATTTAAATTGCTCCTCTGGCAGAGCTTGGCCATCCATGTGGCTGCCATATGTCAGTTTCCTCTTCCTTGTCTGGAATCTCCTTTCTAGTTTCTGCTTCCCATTCTGGTAGGAATTCTTTTCAGCAATGGAAAGAGATGGAAGGAGATCCGGCGCTTCTCACTCATGACCTTGAGGAATTTCGGGATGGGGAAGAGGAGCATTGAAGAGCGTGTTCAAGAGGAAGCACACTGCCTCGTGGAAGAGTTTAGAAAAACCAATGGTGAGTGCTGCTTTATGTCATTGACCATATCAGACAGCTCTCTTCTCTAACAGGGTTCTTGGAAACACTTACAGAATGGCCAGATCTTTTATTTTGGGTAGTGGTTGTCAGTCCTAACGCCCATGAAGTATGTTGTAATACAGAGAGCCAAGGGAGCTTTTGTGTATTTTGTCAGTTGTATTTGTATTCAATGACTGTGCCTTCAATGTGGGTCCTATTCTGTGCCAAACTTTGTTTTCGGTTGTTTTCATAATGATAGAAGGTTTGAGTCTTATTTTAAAAAGTTGTTAGAGAGTAATTTTTTTCCTGTAATATAATTGAAGGCTAACTATTCTAGAACATTCACCGGAAAATTCTTATTAAGTGGATGTGATTGCAGTGACTCACTTCTCTCATGTGGAACATGAAACAGCTGACACCATTACCTACTTGTCTGTTTTATACCCAACTGACTTGTCTGGATATTGTTTCAAGGTCCATGTCGATGATTTTCATGATTAGCCGTGCTTACCTATGGTTTTTAGTCCCTAAGCATCTTTAATGCTCTCTTATCAATTGAGATTTGTTAACTAATAACAATTTAAAAACTATCAGCTGAAGTTATTTAATATTACTATATACTGCATTGTTTTATGTATTTTAAGAAAAGTTATACTACAACATAAAGTTATGTTGTAGTTATAAAATACCAAGTTATAAAATGATTTATTGAACTTAATATCAACTATTATTATTTACCCTAATTGTCAGTTGTCTCTGTTTTCAGCTTTCCTTATATTATCCTCTGTCATTTTTTTGTGTGTAGTAATCATGCTTTTTATTTTCTATGTTTTATGGTGCTTTCACATCTTGGACTGCCCCCTGCCCCAGAGCTAGCGAATAGCAAGTATCTTTTCTACTGCATGCCTTTAACGTACAAACCAACCTATCCATAGCCCATACCTCTTTAAAATTCTTACACACCAAGCCAATAGTCTTGCCTTAAATCGCCTAGGCCAGTTTCAGGACAGCTAGTGACCTTCCACTGGCCCCATAGCCCAGAGCCTTCTGCAGTTACTGTGACTATCTAATCCTGAATTCACTCAGCATACCTACTCTGTTTCACTCACTCCTTAGCATAAAAACCCAAATAAAGGCTCTTCTCCCTGCTTTCCTTTTGCTCCTTCTGCCTCCTGACCCACTGTGAGGCTGACCCACTGTATGTCACTCATACCATTGTGGTGTGGAGGGCCCTTTCCCTGGGGACCTGTGCCTAACAAATCATCTTCTGAAGGACAGTGTATGTGAGAGCAACCTGATGGGTTGACCTCACCATATCTGAGAAAAAACAAAATCCTGGGTGAACTTAAAAACAATTGAACTTTGAGGTGGAAGGTTTCTGGTAGTTTTGTCCCTTTGCTATCAACTGTACTCATCTGTGAAGTGTGATTTTCAGTGTGGATTCCAAGTTACCCAGATATTTACTTTTTTTCTAAATGAAGTGGAAGGCAGGATTGAAAATCAGAATTTCACTGTGAAACACACAATTGCACACACTCAGAGAAATATCAATAATTCCAAACTATCATGTCTTCTAGAGTAAAATAACATTAAATGTCCTGGTTTTTTTTCAGCCAAAAAAAGGAGCCTGAGCTAAGTACAGTTAGCTACTAAAGAGGCTTCTGTTGTTGGATTTCCTATTATTTCTGCAGAAAACTTGCAAAAATTGACATGTGATAATTATACACATTTATAGAGTCAATGTCATAATTTAACACATGTGTATAGTTTGTAATGGTCAAATCTGGGCAGTTCTTTCTATCTCAGTAAATATTTATTAATTCTTTTTGTTGGAAGGCTTTGAATTTTTCTTCTCTAGTTATTTATAAAGTATGTAATACATTGATGTAAACTACAGTTACCCTACTGTGCTGTAGAGCACTAGAATTTATTCTTTCTATCTAACGATATTTTGGTACCAATTATCCATTCTCTTTATCCTTCCTCTTAACTTCCCTTCCTAGTCTCTCTCTAATGACCACTAATCTACTTTAGTTTTAACTTCTACATAGGAAGCAGAGTAAATAGTATTTGTCTTTCTGTGTCTGGCTTATTTCATTTAACACAATTTCCTCAACTTTCATCCGTTTTAATGCAAATGACAGTATTTTTTTTCACATCTTAAATAATTTTATTTAAAATGCCTAAGATCTGTGGGATTTTTTAAATGTCTTTTTTCATTAAAGATCTGTAAACATTTATGGAGATCTTGAGCAATTCTTTTACAAACATGTCTATAATTCGCAATATTTTACAAAACAAAATATGACAAACTAAGGAAAAGAAGTAGCTTCAGATTGTTGGAATAAGGTAAGACTCTCATCCCTGAAGCAAAGTTTTAGGGTTTACTGAGGTAGATCCTGGCTATCCCTCTGTGAAGATTTCATTCTTTTTAATGGCTGAAAAATATTCCATTGTGCATATATACCACAATACTTTGCCACACCTGTGGGGATCTGTTTTATCAGTATTGTGAGTAATACAACACTTTTGATATAATTCTTAATTACATGATGTGGGATTAAGAACTTGTCACATTTTAAATTTACTGATGACTTGAATAAAATAATTTAACTTAAAATTGCTCCAAATATTTCTTCTTCTTTAGTAGCATTTTTTTCTGTAACGTCATGGAATTGACGTAAGTGATAATCCAATTAAAAAAGTTATATTATACAGTATTCTATTGATGACTATATAAAGCAATAACCAAAATTCCACAAGAGGGCAGGCTTTGTAAAAATAAATTAAATGTAGGATTCCATTGGTGATCACACACTTCATTTATTAATTTAACTTTTTGCACTTTCCCTCTATGTGATTTAACTTTGAAATGAAGAGTTCTTATTTCACTTTTATTTCTGGCAAACAAATCTTATAATTTATGTTTAATTTATATTTATATAATAAGAAATATTTATTTTCTATTTATATTTTACATTCATTCCATCAAATACCTTCATTTCCTGTAATCTTTTTCTTTAGTCTTCCCTGCTTGCCAGTTCTACATGTAGTTCCTTCAATGTAAAAGGTTTCAAGGGCTGGCTGAGTGACTCAAGTCGTAGAGCATGCTTGCCTAGCAAGTGTGAGTCTCTGAGTTCAAACCCCAGTATCACAAAAGGTTTTCAGGTTATTTTTTCTTTCCTATTTTAATACTTAATTGCCTAAAAGCTTTCCAGGGTGGTAAAATTCCGTGCTAATAAGTTAAATTATTAGATATTTTTAAAGGTGACTTCTTTACATTTTTTTCTTTTACCCTCCAAGATAAAAAGTCATGGGGTCAGAATCCTGTAAACAAAGGCAGTAGTTCTAACAGAGTATTTGGATAACCATTACCAAACAAGCTAGGATGTAATGATTAGTTCAGATCTAAGAAAAAGTAATGCCTTGATTTTAAGTGTGCTGAAGTTTTTGCTGATAGGGAATTTCTAGGTAAATATTACCTTAGAATTTCTAAAAACTCCTTTTATCTGTTTTTAATGACAAAATTTTATGTGTATATATTAAGGATTGCTTTTAATGTTTCCCATTCTTCAGGTGAACCCTGTGATCCCACCTTTGTCCTGTGTTGTGCTCCCTGCAATGTGATCTGCTCCATTATCTTCCAGAAACGTTTTGATTATAAAGACCAGACTTTTCTTAACTTGATGGGAAAATTCGAAGAAAACCACAGACTTATGAGCACCCCATGGATCCAGGTGAGGTCAAAGCATCTCTTCCTGAGAAACCATTTGTGTTCTTCTTCCTGACAAGTCTAATATAAGTTAGTTAAATTCATTCCCTCTGTCCGCCCCCTTGCAATAGTTTCAACAGGCCTCATTTTTCCATTTTTCATGCATGAGTATATATTTCCACCATATTCACCTCCTTCACACTTTCCTGATGTCTTCCCCCTCCAACTTTTATCAGCCCCCAGACAGGACCAGTTTTGTCTTCCTATCCTTCATTTTTAGAAAAATTCATTTTAGTTTATTTAAGACAGCTATACAGGGAATTTCATTATGACATTTCCATGTATATATGCATTATATACTGAATTGGTTCATATCCTCCATTTTTCTCCTTTCTACCTTAGTCCCCTTCTTATGGTGATTTAAGTAGTTTTAAATAATCAACATTCATTCTTGTATAGAAAGTACATCAACCATATTTACCTTTTTTACTTCCTTCTTTTATTCTCTTCCTATTAGTGCCCTCCCCTTAGTGTGATGTGATTTTCATTCTTTCCTTCATCATTTTAGGTGTCTGTTCCTTGTTCAGTGGGAATTTTTCTTGGTATTATACCTGAACATGCACTGTGCTTAAGTCAATGTAACCCTATTACACTGCACTTCCTCACCCTTCCCCCATCCTGTATTATTTTAACATTTTTTGTATGTGTTTTCTTGTGTCTTGTTCCTACACAGATGTGAAGTATTTCATTATTATTTGATATCTATCTTTCCTTTTTTCCCCCCTCTCTTGGTCTCCTCTACCACTTCTCACTTTTGGGTACATGTTCTGTAGATATTTGTATGTATATATGGTATTGCTTCTATTTGCATTGAGTCTATACTCCACATATGAGAGAAGACATATGGCCTCTGGCTGTAGGAACCTGGCTAACTTCACTTATAATGTTCTCCAGTCACATCCACTTAGCTGCAAATGACAAAATTCCATTGTTTTTTATGGTTGAATGAAATTCCATTGTATATAAACACTACATTTTCTTAATCCATTCTTCAGTTGTGGGGCATCTTGGCTGTTTCTGTAGCTTGGTTATTGTGAATAATGCTGTGATAAACCTGGGTGCACGGTGTCTTTATTGTAACCTGACTTACATTCCTTCAGGTAGATACCCGGAATGGTATTTCTGGATCATGTGGCATTTTTATTTTTAGTTTTTTGAGGAGCCATAGTGGCTCCTCATAGTGGTTTTCCATAGTGGTTGTACTAATTTACATTCCCACCAACGGCGTATGAGGGGTCCTTTTCCCCAATGTACTCTCCAACATTTGTTGTTGTTTGTGTTCTTGATGATAGCCGTTCTAACAGGAGTGAGGTAGAATCTTCATGTGGTTTTATTTGCATTTCCTTTATGTCCAGGAATGTTGAGTATTTCTTCATGTGTTTTTTGACATTTGTATTTCTATGAAAAACCTCTGTTCAGTTCATTCTGTGGGCTGCCTCTTTAACCCGGTGACATTTCTTTTGTTGTACAGAAAATTTTTAGTTTCCTTTGTCAATCCTTTCTCTTAGTTGCTGAGCCATTGGGGTAGTATTTAGAAAGTTATTGCTTATGCCTATAAATTCCAGTATACTTCCTGTAGTTGTTTCAAAGTTTCAGATAAAAAGTGGAAATTTTAGATAGTGTAATGTGGTAACTCTGAAAATTAGCTTTTCCCCTTTCTTTAGGACTTTTTTTTGGGATTGTTATATTTTATTCTTTCTTTTAATGTTTTTAAAACATTCTTTTAATGTTTTAAAAGAATTCTTTCTTTTAATGTTCTTTTAATGTTTTTTTGTGTTCTAGAGGCTGAAGGGGTTTGTTTAGTAAATCTTCTAAACTATTTTTATAAAGTTGATGTGTTTATAAAGTTGTCATGTGTCATCTGTGAAGTTTCTTTTCTTTTCCTGTAGGTTATATTCAGATTGTTTTGACAGAAATATCTTTAAATGTGAGAGGAGGTGAGTGAGAGAGAGAGAGAGAGAGAGAGAGAGAGAGAGAGAGAGAGAGAGAGAGAGAAGGCAGGGAAGGAGGGAAGGAAGGAGAAACAAAGGAAAGGAGGGACAAAGAAAATTCCTCCAGATGGACTGTGATCTGAGGCACTCTTGGTTGTAGCCTTTAGTTGCTGTTAAGCATAGTCTATAAGTCAATAGAGGTGAAAGCCCTATCCTGGGCATGTTCCTAGCATTTTTGAGTTCATCGGTGCCCTAGTTTTCAAAAGATATTCTCTTCCCTGGGTTGTGGTGTATTAAAATGTGCCTTAACTCTATTCTTTTTCCTTATATGGCCCTGAGTTGCTTAGTGACATTGCAGTTTTCGACATTTCTTTTCTACCCTGATGAGGTCTAAATTAGATGAAATAAAGAAAAAATGCCTTGTTTCTTTCTTCAGCTAGTCCTGAGACAGGTTAGAACAGGAAATGCTATCTGTTCCTCTGGAACCATAACCAGGGTCCTACACTGGGAGTGGAGTTGGTTTTGTCAAGGCGACTGCCATGTCAAAGGGGGAGGTGATTTCTGTAAACACCTGTCTGTTTTTCAGCATTCTAACAAAGTTGATTCTAATACCTTTTGCTTAAGTTTTTGTAATTTTCCTGGAGAGATGGGCTGTACCTATTCATGAAGTGACTATTTAGACACAACTATCCTGTCAAGATTTTAGTATCATGCCATGAGCATCTGAGAAAGGTAGCCAAGGCCTTTATTTTATATACAAGAAGAAAAATGCCTGCCTGAACACAGGGCAGGAATTCAAGCCTATTCAAGCCCAGTTCAAGTTCATTGGCAAGAGGTTTTTTCACCAAATTGCAGTTTCCAGGCAATATTTTGGTGACTCTCCAAAAACATGCCTTAGCACTTGGTGGACATTCAGGGTTCTTATTGAAAAGCTTCCATTACCAACAGGCTTGTCTGCCACTCAAAACTTAGAGACTTCTTTATCATATAGATTGGCATAAATATCCTAATTTAAGATATAAAGGGTGGAGAAGGTTTAGGAGCACAGATGCTGGTAGGATCCTGCAAAGAGTAGGGGTTCTGACTGAAAGACTCTAACACAATCTGAAGCTGGGATCTCAGCTGAGAAAATAACCAGAATCAGTTGGGTATGGTAGCTTGCCCCTGTAATCCCAGCTTCTCAGGAGGTAGAGCTAGGAGGATTGCAAATTCAAGGCCAACCTCTGGAGAAATTAGCCAGATCCTATCTCTAAAACAATACACAAACTAAAGGGTCAGGGAGTGACTGAAGTATTAGAGTATGCTTGCCTAGCGTGTCATTGCTAGGCCCTGAGTTTAATCCCTGGTACTGTAAAGAAAAAGAAAGAAAGAAAGAAAGAAAGAAACCAGGGTGAGGATGACAAAATAATTGGATTCTGGAGTGTGAAAACTCTCTTGTAACACCACAATATCACCCTCTGTTGAGCTGGCATGTCATATACTGCCTAGAAGATAACTGCATGACTTTAAAGTAGTAATTGACCCTTATGTACAAGTATTTATCCATAAAATGCTGAGTTGGGGTCATGATATCTTTGTTCCCCTCCTAGTTATAAAATCTTGATGCTATTCCTGCAGCTGATTTAGTAGTGGAAATAGCAGGGAGTGGCCGTGTGCTCTATGCCATGTTGTCTGATCTTCCATAGCCTCCATCTTTATCTGTAAGATGTGAATTATAGAAATTCATGCCTTTCTATATCAAGGTTTTAGGTAAAAATAAGAGAATGAACATAAAGATACTTTAATACTCTAAAAAGAATGTATAGGTGTAGGTAGATATTCTTTTCTTTGATCATGTTTACTCCCACATCTGTGTTAGTAGAGATGACTACTTTGTACGTGTCGTATGCATCAAAATGCTCCTCCTCAAATTGGAGGTCATTTTTATATTAATCTCTGTTTTTAACCAGGAGGTTGGCTTATGTTATTCTTATGTCTTTATTTATGTTTTTAATTTAATAAATGTTTTTTACTCTTTAAGATCTGCAATACTTTCCCTGTGATCATTGATTATCTCCCAGGAAGTCATAACAAAATACTTAAAAATTTTGCTGATGTAAAGAGTTATGTTTTGGAGAAAGTAAAAGAACACCAAGAATCCCTGGATGTCAATAATCCTCGGGACTTCATTGATTGTTTCCTGATCAAAATGGAACAGGTAAAATGTTTGCTTGCATTTTGTGGTTTATTGATTATTTCTGTGCTTATTGGGAAGTGTATCTGTTCAGGCAAGAAGCAATTTATAAGCACTGTAGGTATGTATTGTGTGCATGGATCTAGAGAGATTTGATTTGATCAGGTACATTAAGAGACAGAACAAGAATATAATGTAGATAATACTTAGGGACAATAATTCCGTGAAAAATCTGTAGAATGATCTGTATGGTGAGAACTAAGATCAAAAATCAGCATTGAGATTTAGCATGTTTGTACTTTTGCGTGATAAACATCTGGATTATGGAAATGTAGATTCTGATCACCTTATTATATTCTTTGTTGAGCTCAGGGCTTCACACTTGCTAGGAAGGTGCTATACTACTTGAGCCCTCTGCCTGATCTTTTTGCGTTGGTTATTGTAGAGCTAGGGTCTCTATGTTTGGACCAGCCTGGACTGAGATCCTCCCGTTTGTGCTTCCCTGTAAAGCTGGGATGACAGGCATGTGCCACTGTGCCCAGCCTTGGTTGAGATGTGGTCTCTTGAACTTTTTGCCCTGGTGGTCTCAAACCACCATCCTCCCTGCTTCCCAAGTAACTAGGTTTGCAGGATTGAACCACTGAGCTTATCTTCTATACAGGTTTTTGTTTTAATTTTGGGAGCAGATGGAAGCCAAATAACAGGAGTTATGTGGTAAATTTCAATAATGACACTTATGGTGGTATTTGATAAGTTTAACCAAGGAGGAAAAGATTAATATTATAAATTTAAATAGTGTTAAGGTCAGTTTGGAAACTGGTTGAGAAGTACAATCTGGATGATGCAAGGTGCCTTGTATAGTTACAAAGTCCTTCTTGAACTGGGATGAGGTGAAGTCTAGAAGAAGCCAAAAAGAGTGAAGTGTAGAGAATAATCCATCCTGGGAATCCATCATTATTTTACTTTGTAATATTAGGTAGAAATGCAAGAAAGAAAGAAAGAAAGAAAAAAGTAAAAAGTAAAGAGCAAGGAGTAAAAATGCTGATGTAGGTGACCTTTGAAGCATTTTCCATGAGGTTTGAGCTGAGCAGCTTAAGTCTCATGTTGTAGATGGAATGAAGTGAAGAAGAGGGAAGAGTTGGAAGAAACTGGTGGTGGGAAGAAACAAATTACTTTTACTCTCTGTCTCTTCTACCAGAGCGGAGTGATTAGAGTTCTGGGACCTAGTCACAAATTTCATTAGGGCTGGAGGCATGGCTCAACTGGTAGAGTACCTGCCTAGTAAGCACACAACCCCTGAGTTTGACCGTAGTACTGTCAAACAAAACCCAAACAACCCAATAAATGTATGAATACTTTTACAAAAGAATGCACCTGTATGACTTCTTTATAATTTATACATGTTGAGGGGGGCATCCTTAATGCTGAAAAGCCTGTTCATTAATTCCAGATCATGAGGAACTCTAAGGTCTCTGCTACTTAAATTCCAGAGGCATTTGCCTGAATACCATATTTAAAAACTACATTGTTCCTGGGACCTCAGTATAGTATTCAGAAACTAGCTTATTTTATTTTTTAGTGATATCTTTATCAGCTATAGTTTATCTACTATTTCTGTATAGGTTTTATGTAAAATTTAATACTTAGTATTTTCAGAGAGTTGTAGAACCATCACCACATATCCAACGTCAGACTTGTTCATCACTCAGAAATGAAATCCCATATGCTTTAGCTGCCATCTCCATTCCCTCAAGTCTTCATCTTTAGACAACACCATGTACTTTCCATTTGTGTAGATTTGCTACATTGAACATTTCATATAAATGGAATAATATAGTGTTTGATCTTTTCTAACTGACTTCTCTCACCATAATCATTTAAATGTTCATTGATGGAGTATGTATCAGTATCTCATTTCTTTATATGGTAGAATAATAATATCAGTGTGTTTTATTCTTCATTGAATGAACATTTTATTTACATAGTTTACAGTTATGAATATTGCTACTATGAATTTTTGTGTAGAAGGTATTGGTTATTCATATGTTTTCATTTCTCTTGGATATATTCCTGGCGTTGGAATTGCTGGCTGTTATGGTGTTTTTATGTTTAGAATTTGAGGCTCTGTGGCTGTACAACAGACCTAAATGTAAGAGCTAAAAATATAAAGACCTCAAGAGTTTTGGGTCTAATATTAAGGTCCTTGATCCATTTTGAGTTGATACTAGTACAGTGTGATAGGCATGGATCTAGTTTCAGTTTCTTTTCTCTCTTTTTTTTTGTTCATATACTTACATGTTTTTTTTTATGTTATGAATTTTTTAAAATTTCTTTTATTCATATGTGAATACAATGTTTGGGTCATTACTCCTCCCTTCACCCTACTCCCTCACTTTCCCCACATCCCCTCCCTCTCCCTCCACCCTCTAGCTTCCAAGCAGAAACTGTTTTGCCCTTATCTCTAATTTTGTTGAAGAGAGAGTATAAACATTAATAAGGAGGACTGGGGTTTTTTGCTAGTTGAGGTAAGGAGAGCTATACATGGAGATTCCTAGTATGGCTTCCATGTACATATGTGTTACATTCTAAATTGATTCCTCTCAAAGTAACCTTTTTTCCAGTTCCTAGTTCCCTTCTCCTATTGGCCTCTGTTGCTTTAAAGTTTCTGCATTAGTTCCTTTGCATTGAGGACATCAAATGCTATCTTGTTTTTTTGGGAGACCTACCTATCCTCATACCTCCCTTGTGTGCACTCGCCTTATCATGTGATACAAGTCCAACCACATTGCTGCATTTGCCCTAGATCTGAAATCCACATATGAGGGAGAACATGATTTTTGGTCTTCTGAGCCAGGCTAACCTCTCTAAGAATGATGTTCTCCAATTCCATCCATTTACCTGCAAATGATAAGATTTCATTCTTCTTCATGGCTGAGTAAAATTCCATTGTGTATAAATACCACATTTTCTTAATCCATTCATCAATAGTGGGGCATCTTAGTTGTTTTCATAACTTGGCTATTGTGAATAGTGCTGCAATAAACATGGGTGTGCAAGTACCTCTGGAGTAACCTGTGTCACAGTCTTTTGGGTATATCCCCAAAAGTGGTATTGCTGGATTGCATTCCCACTAGCAGTATAGAAGGGTTCCTTTTCCCCCACATCCTCGCCAACACCTGTTGTTGGTGGTGTTTTTGATGATGGCTATTCTAACAGGAGTGAAGTGGAATCTTAGTGTGGTTTTGATTTGCATTTCCTTTATGGCTAGAGATGGTGAGCATTTTTTCATGTGTTTTTTGGCCATTTGAATTTCTTCTTTTGAGAAAGTTCTGTTTAGTTCACTTGTCCATTTCTTTATTGGTTCATTGATTTTAGGAGAGTCTAGTTTCTTATGTTCCCTGTATATTCTGGTTATCAGTCCTTTGTCTGATGTATAGCTGGCAAATATTTTCTCCCACTCTGTGGGTGTTCTCTTCAGTTTAGAGACCATTTCTTTTGTTGTGCCGAAGCTTTTTAGTTTTATGAGGTCCCATTTGTCTATACTTTCTCTTAGTTGCTGAGCTGCTGGGGTTCCATTGAGGAAGTTCTTGCCTTTACCTATTAATTCCAAAGTGTTTCCTACTCTTTCCTGTACCAACTTTAGAGTTTGGGGTCTGATATTAAGGTCTTTGATCCATTTTGAGTTAATACTAGTACAGGGTGATAAACAGATCTAGTTTCAGTTTTTTGCAGACTGCTAACCAGTTTTCCCAACAGTTTTTGTTGAAGAGGCTGTCTTTTCTCCATCGTATATTTTTAGCACCTTTGTCAAAAATAAGTTGGGTATAGTTGTGTGGATTCACATCCGGGTGCTCTATTCTATTCTACTGGTCTTCATGTCTGTTTTTGTGCCAGTACCATGCTGTTTTTATTGCTGTTGCTTTGTAATATAGTTTGAAGTAGGCTATTGTGATACCTCCAGCATTGTCCTTCTTGGTAAGTATTGCCTTGGCTATTCGTGGTCTCTTGTGTTTCCAAATGAACTTTAAGGTGGATTTTTCAATGTCTTTGATGAATGTCATTGGGATTTTGATGGGAATTGCATTAAACATGTAGATTGCTTTTGGTAGTATAGCCATTTTTACTATGTTGATTCTATAATCCATGAACATGGGAGATCTTTCCATTTTCTGTAGTCTTCCTTGATCTCTTTCTTCAGGGGTTTGTAGTTCTCCTTTTAGAGGTCATTCACCTCCTTTGTTACATTTACTCCTAGGTATTTTATTTTTTGAGGCTATTGTAAATAGAATTATTTCCATATTTTAGTACAGAAAGGAGTAGGAAACACTCTGGAACTAGTAGGTATAGGCAAGGGCTTTCTCAATAGAACCCCAGCAGCTCAGCTGCACACCCATGTTTATTGCAGTGTTATTCACAATAGCCAAGTTATGGAAACAACTAAGATGCCCCACTACTGATGAATGGATTAAGAAAATGTGATATTTATACACAATGGAATTTTACTCAGCCATGAAGAAGAATGAAATCTTATCATTTGCAGGTAAATGGATGGAATTGGAGAACATCATTCTTAGAGAGGTTAGCCAGGCTCAGAAGACCAAAAATCATATGTTCTCCCTCATATGTGGATTTCAGATCTAGGGCAAATGCAGCAATGTGGTTGGACTTTGTCACATGACAAGGGGAGAGCATACGGGGGATATGGGAATAGGTAATAAAACCCAAAACATGAAAGCATTTGATTTCCCCACTCCAGAGGAACTAATACAGAAACCTTAAAGCGACAGATGTTAACATGAGAAGGGGATCAGGAACCAGTGTAAAGATCAGTTAGAGATGAATCAACTTGGGTTGTAACACATTTATACATGGAAGCAATGCTGGGAATCTTTCTGTATAGCTATCCTTAACTCAACTAGCAAAAATGCTTTGTCTTTCTTATTATGCTTATGTCTTCTCTTCAACAAAATTAGAGATAAGGGCAGAACAGGTTCTGCCTGGCAGTGGAGGGGAGGAGGGGGGAAGGGGGGAGGGGGACTGAGGGGAAAAATGACCCAAACAATGTACGCACATGTGAATAAATGAATAATAAAAAATTAAAAAAATATAAAGACCTTATAAGATAACATTGGCATGAAATTGGCTGCATCGTTGCATGAGTATTCCCATTTCTCCAGCTCCTCACTGATGCATCTTATTTTTTGTCTTTTTGATCATATTTATTCTAGTGGGTCTAAAGTGCTGCTTCATTGAGGTTTCAGTTCTCACTACCCTGATAGCCAATGATGTCGAGCATCTTTTCATGATCTTATTGGCCCTTTGTGTGCCTCTTTAAATATATGTATGCTTAGATTCTTTGCCTGTTTTTTGAATTACTACAATTGTTTCAATTATTAAGATGAAAAAGTTCCTATATATTCTAGATACAAGTCCTTTATATACAGATATATGATTTGAAGATGTTTCTCCCACTTATGTGTTGTCTTTTCAATTGCTGTACTTTCTTTTGAAATACAAAAGTTTTCAATCTTTTTGTGAAATCTCATTTTTTTCTACATTTTGCCTCTTTTTATTTCATTTTATTTTTGCAGGTACTGGGGTTTGAGCTCAGGGCTTGACACTTGCTAGGCAGGCACGCTACCACTAGAGCCATTCTGCCAGCTGCTATGAAATTCCATTTTGGTTGTTTGTGATTATGGGGTCATATCTAAGAAATGATGACTTAACCCAAGGCCACAAAGATTTACTGTGCATTTTCTTGGAAGCATTTTGTAGCCTTATCTGTTACATTTAGGTCCATCATCCACTTTGAATCCATTTTTAACTGTGGTGTGAGATGTGGTTCTGATGTCATTATTTTGCATGTGGATATTTAGTTGTCCCAGCACCATTTGTTGAAAAGATTATTCTTTCCCTAATGAATAATCTTGGTGCATTTGTTGAAAATTTATTGACTATAAATGTGAGGATTTATTTTTGGGCCTTTTTTATTTTTTTGTCTTTTTTTTTTTTTTTTTGGTGCTGGGATCGAACCCAGGGCCTCGCACATGCTAGGCAAGCACTGTACCACTGAGCTACATCCCAGCCCTATTTTTAGGCTCTTAATCCTATTCCATTCATTTATATATCTTTCCCTATGACAATATCACAGAATTTTGATAGCTAGAGTTTTTAGTTTTGAAATCAGGGTCTTTTCCAATTTTTTTTTTCATTTCTTTTCTTTTCTTTGTTTTGTTTCTTTGTTTCTTTCATTTTTTTTTTTTTTGTGGTACTGGGGTTTGAATTCTGGGCCTCACACTTGCTAAGAAGTGCTCTACCATTTCAGTGACTCTGCCAGCCCTTGTTTTGGCTTTTTAACAATTAAGGTTGTAAAACGCCCCATAAAAATTTTAGGATAACTTTGTGAATTTCTGCAAAGACTGTGGCAGAGATTTTGATAAAGATCATTTTGAATATGTAGACCAATTTGAAGTAATGCCTTCTTAACAGTATTAAGGCTTCCAGCAGAATACACAGAATGTTTTTCCATTTATTTAGATCTTTTTGGAATTTTTAACAATTTTTTGTATAGGCTAGCTGAATTTTGATTGCACTACTCCAGTGGTGTGGTTTGCTCAAAACCACTGATTCTCCAAATTCACTCAAACAAATGAAGTACTAGTGTTGGTTTAAATGTGTTCTACTTTCCTTCTTGGCCTTAGTATGATTTTGAGTTGGCAATCTTAGAAACTGTGAAATTGGTGTTACTAATGGGGATGATTACCTTTGTGTAGAAGTACACCTGATGGGAGGGGCATGCTAGCTTTGGTGGTGTTGATGATATATTAAGCATACCACAAAACTAGAAGAAACTTGAATAAGATTTATTTTTAGCCAGGGTCTTGCTGGCCTTAAACTCTGTGTGTAGCCCAGACTGTCCTCAAACTCATGATCTTCCTATCTCATCCTTCTTAGTTCTGAGATAACAGGAGTATGCCATCACAGCTGAGGAAGAAAGTATTTTTACTTACTTCCTTCTTTTTTATTAGCATATAATAATTGTACAGGGAGATGTAATATTTACATATGTGCTTACAACGTATCTTAGATTCCCCCTCCTTTGTTCTCCTGCATCGCCTCTCCCACCTTCTTAGAACAATTCCAACAAGTTTCATTCTATTTTCGTGCATTAATACAAAAATACATCTACCATATTTGCCATCCTTCACCCAAGAATGTATTTTCTATACGTGAATGATTCTCTAAGGTCAAGATTTCAAACTCTTCCATTGTTATTATCAATCTGTGTCTGTATTTCTCCATCTTAATAAAACCTTAGTTGTACTTGTGAAGTGTGTTTGGTCACCCAAACTCCCAATTTATGGGAACTGAATCCTGTCATTCCTTTATCCTCAGCTTGTGCATTATTCTTGCTCTCTCCTTCATGCCATATAGGCAGTTAATGACTAAACTCTTTGTCCTTGTGTTTAGTTTCTCTCCAATTGGTAAATTGTACTTATTTCCTAGACAAAGTTGCCTATTGCCTCCCATCTGGATTGCAACAGTGGTTGACCCAATCTCATTTTTGTGGATTCACTTTCTTCCTCCTTAATTTATTCTACAATGCCTGTTAGTTCTTGCACATTTCTGAGTTCAGAATGAATCAGGCATTATGGAGTCCAATTAAATTCTTTAACAGAAGAAATTAATTGCAAACTTTTTCTAAAAAAAGATTTATTTGCTATGGTTTAGATCTTAAGTGTCTCTTAAAGTCTCATGTGTTGAAAGCTTGGTTCCCAACTGGGGCTTTGGGAGGGAATGGAACTTTTAGGAGGAGGGGTCATCATAGCTCCAAGAGTGGCTGGGAAATGAAATTTTGAGGCAAGCTGGTGATAAGAGATGGGAAATTAAGATTAGGTAAACTAATCGACATTCTTTGCTATGCTGTGCATTTGTTGCAGTTTTAATACTATAGTCCCCACTGTCTAAGTTTTCTTACTTTAAATCAACCTGAGTTATTTTGTATTCAATACAACTAAATATTCTGTCAAACTGTCATGTAATTAAATAATCACATAATTCCTAGGAAGGGCACAATCAGCAGTCTGAATTTACTATTGAAAACTTGATAGCCACTGTAACTGATATATTTGGAGCTGGAACTGAAACAACAAGCACCACCATGAGATATGGACTCCTACTCCTGTTGAAGCATCCAGAAATCACAGGTATGACCAGCCAGGGAGCAGGGCGAATTTCAGAGAGATGTTGAGAAGACACTACTAGAGTCCTCATCTCCACAATAACCAGGCCAAAATGGACTAGAAGTGTGACTCAAATGGTAGAGCACTTGCTTTGCAAGTGCAGAGTTCTGAGTTCAAACCCCAGTCCCACCAAAAAAACCCCTAGTTAGTTATACCAAGTAACTGAGAAAATATATGATGAAGACTGAAAATATGTAAAATACTTAAAGCAATGAGTGGTATTAGATCATACTCAAATAAATCAGTTATGATTATTTTACGAAAAACCAAAACCAAAACCCAAACAAACAAATGAGTGCCTTGGCATATGTGACAATGATTAAGAATACCATTGCAAGTTGCAAATAAACACACACACAACAACACAAGCCTGTACACCCATAGAGATCTGTTAGTAAATATAATTTTCAAACACTTCATGTTAATAAGAATACCATTGCAAGTTGCAAATAAACACACACACAACAACACAAGCCTGTACACCCATAGAGATCTGTTAGTAAATATAATTTTCAAACACTTCATGTTAATTTGATATAAAATAACTTTGTTTCCAGTTTCTTTTTCCTGCAAGGACAGTACTTTCTTGAGTTCATATGTACAGGATATTTATTTATTTATTTTATAAATTTTATTAGCATCTAATAGTTGTACAGGGGGATACATTGTGATATATACATATATATGTATATGCATATATATATGATCATATATGTATCTATATATACTTTTATAGATCTATATTCCACATATGAGAGAAAATATGCAACTTTTGATTTTTTTGAGCTTGGCTATTTTACTTAACATGAAGTTCTCCACTTCCATCCATTTACCTGCAAACAACATAATTTCGTTGCTCTTTAAGGATGAATAAAACTCCACTGTATGTGTGTGTATGGATATATCTATCTATCTATCTATCTATCTATCTATATCTATCTATCTATATAGATATATATATGTAAATATCGCATTTCTTCATCCATTTATCCGTCATGGGTGATCTGTTTGGCTGTTCCCAGGCTTGGCTACTGCAAATACTGCTGCAATAAGCATGGGTGTGCAAGTGACTCTATCATACCTGTACGGGATATTTATACATTGAAACATTTCATCATTTCTATGCATATTGATTATCCTGTATGCTAATATGTGAGTATATACAGATTTATCTTAATGCCTAGATTGTAGGAGAGTTATGTGTACCTGTAGTATAGCAAGTACAGATGTACTTTTGCCTTAAGGTGCTGTTGGGACACCTTCATTATGCCAAATATGCCAGTTTGTCATTTTCCATCAGTTCTAACTTTTGTTTTATCAGCTAAAGCCCAAGAGGAGATTGAACATGTGGTTGGCAGACACCGGAGCCCCTCCATGCAGGACAGGAGCCGCATGCCATACATGGATGCTGTAGTGCATGAGATCCAGAGATACATTGACCTCATACCTACCAACGTGCCCCACGCAGTGACCTGTGATGTTAAATTCAGAAACTACTTCATCCCTAAGGTAAACGTCTTTCTTCTACACAATACCTTGGTGCCCATGAAATTCCCAGGTTCACAGTATGGTTCCAATCCTCACCAACACTAGATGAAAGAACAGCAAAACGCATAGTTGTGGCAGCTTGAGGGACTTTGTGCTGTTTTCAGTGTGGGGATATAAAGCTTTATAACACATCTTGATTTGTGTTTTCCAATTTTTTTCTGCATCATTAGTCAGTTCTCCCAAAATTTCAGCTGTATGTTTATCAGGATGACATTAAATCTATATATCAATGGAAAGCTGAATATTGTAAAGCATGGATTAGGTTATGCTATCAATTGATTTGGGCTTTTTCTAAGCATTTTTTTGTTTTAAGTTTAGTGGGATTGTACATCTATTAGTTTTGTTGTAAATGAATAGTGTTATTTAAAAAAAAGAAAATTTTTCCATTTCTTTATTTCTGGTATGTGGAATATAGTTTACATTTTGATGGCCTTATATTTAGAAAGCTTGCTAAGTTTGCTTATCATTGGTAATAAATTATAGATTAATTTGTAATTTCTATATGTAGAATTCTACAATCAGGTTAGTATTTATTTTATTTGATGCTGTTTTCACCATGAGTATGTATAATTTGATCAAATGTATTCTCAACAGCTATTGATATGACTTTGTATTTTGGCCCAATTACACACCACACACACACCCACACCAAGTATATATGCTTGTGTGTACTTGTATATGAAAACACACAATTGTATAGTTGGCTTGATTTGTTACCTTTTTCTCAGGATACTTGATTTGTATTTATACTTACATTTATAAGAGAAATATTTTTCCGCAACATTTTTTTTCAAATTTGAAAAGGATAACAAGGATAGTGATGGCCTGGTCAAATAAGGTAGCTATGTTGTCTAACTGGCTACATTTTGAATGCCTTTTCCCATTATCTGTACTCTGTATCAATTTACTTGAAGTGCCACATAAGTTTTGGTTTAGTACCATTCATTACATCTGAAAAAATGCAAAATCTTAGACAAGGTTTAATCGTCTTTTCAGAAAGTGGGTTTATCTCTCCCCACAGTCAGACAGAATTATGTAACATATTTTTCCTACATGTTAGATAGGCTATGGTCATAGTTAAAAACTGACCATAGCTTTTGGCTGACCTCTCTGACCAAGTGAGATTTATCCCAGCAATGTAAAGAAGGTTCAATATTTGGAAATCAATAAATGTAATATACTATATCAGCAGAATGAAGGACAAAAACTCTGTGGTCTTCTCCTAGATGCAGAAAAGCATTGGATAAAATTCAACATCCTTTTATGATAAAAATTCTCAAAAATCAGGTATAGAAGAGTTGTAGTTGAGCACAATAAAGGTTAAGTTTGTCAAACCCACAAACAACATTGTAATGAATGGGGAAAAGCTGAAATCATTTCCTATAAGACCAGGAACAAGAAAAGGATGTCCATTTTCACCATCCTATCATATAGTATTGGAAGACTTGGTGAGAACATTAAGGCAAAAGAAAGAAAGAAATGTCACCCAGATCTGAAAGGAGAAGGTCAATTTTCCTTGTTTGAGGACAACTGATTTTATATATAGAAACACCTAAAAGACCTAGTTAGAACTGATAAATTAATTCTGTAAAGATGTAGGATACAAATAAATATATAAAAATTAGTAGTAAAAATTATGTATATATATATACAAATGTATATTATGTTGTATTAGATGTATTTGTATTAGATTTATATAAACGATATGCTTGAAAGAAACATTGAAAGAACAATGGGCTCAAATCTAAACTATATGAGCCTTTCACAAAAGAAGTTTTGCTAGACAACGGAATTATATCAAACTAAGAGCTTCTACCCAGGAAAGGAAACAATCAGCACTAGTGAGAAAACCAACAGCAGAAGTTGAGAGAATATTGCAAAATATCCATTCAACAGGACTCATTAATATCCAGGGTATATGAGAAACTCAAATAACTCAGTAGCAAAAACTCAAGTAACTTGATTCAAAAATAGGAAATGGGGGTTGGGGTTTTAGAATGTTTTGCATAGCATTCATTCAGCTCCAGTTTTGGTCTGCAGAAACACACACACATACTCAACTCAAATACTCTTAGGAGGCAGAGACAGGAGGGTGGAGAGTTCAAGGCCTGTATAGGCTTACATAGTGAGAGCCTGTCTAAAAAAAGATAAAATAAATTACTAAAATTAAAAAATAGGAAAATAATCTGAATAGACATTTCTCAAAAAAATTCATACAAATAGCCAACAAGTATTAAAAAATGCTCAGCATACTAACATTAGTAGCTGAACATTAGGGAAATGCAAATTAAACCACAATGAGAAATCATCTCATTACAGTTAAAATGTCTATTGTTAAAAAGACAAGAAATAAAATTGGCAAGGATATGGAGGAGGCGCATATACACTGTTCCTGAAAAAACTGAAAAATAGAGCTACTGTATGATCCAGCAGTCCCACTGTTAGGAATATAGCCAAAGAAATAAACTCATTATATCAGAGAAACTTGCATTTGCATGTTATTGCAGCACTCTTCACAATAGCCAATGTGTGGAGTCAACCAAGGTCCATTGACAGGTGAATGTGAAAAGAGAATGTGGGTATATGATAATGTGGTATTATTCAGTCACAAAAGAATGAATTCTGTCAGTTGCTGCAACATAGATGGAACTGGACATCATAACATAAAGTCAGATAAGCCAGGCACAGAAAGAGAAATACTGTATATTCTCATTCATAGGTGGAAGCTGAAATAGTCCCTTCCTCCCCCCTTCCTCCTTCCCATCCCTCCTTTCTTCCTTTCTTTTATTTTTGGCAGTACTGGGGGTTGTATTCAGGGCCTTGTGTTTGCTAACAGGTGTCATATCACTTGAATAACTCTAGTAGCTCCAAAACAGTTGAGGTTATAGAAGAAGAGAGTAGAATAGTGACCCCTTGAGGGTAAGAAGGGAAGGAACAGGGGGATAGGAAGAGATTAGATAATGAGAACCAAAATGCAATTAGACAAGGAGAGAAAGTTCTGTTGTTCCATGTTATGGTAGGGTGACTATTATGTATCCCAAAATAATTAGAAGAGAGGAGTTTAAAGTTTCCCAAAATGAACAAATACTATTACTCTGATTTTCTAGTTACACATTATATGCATATATTGAATTGTCACATTATATCTCATATATAATATAATTATATATCAATTGAAAAAGAAATGTTAATTTGTTTGATTATATGGTACTCCCAGTTATTTGGAGTATCATAAAAATCTATGGTAAATTCATCATAATCTTCCTAACATCAAACAATTTGGAATTTGGAAATACAATTTGGCCTTTTTGAATGGAAATATCACTGCTCTTTTTTGGACATAGGGATCCTTTTCCATAAATGAAATTGATTAGACTAGGTAAGTTCTGTCATCTATTTCCACTCAACATTCCTTTTATCTGTCTGTTATATCCAGGGTATGACCATAATAACATCGCTGACTTCTTGCTATATGATGACAAAGAATTTCCCAACCAGAGATGTTTGACCCTGGCCACTTTTTGGATGAGAGTGGCAACTTTAAGAAAAGTGACTCTTTGTGCCTTTCTAACAGGTATTACAAATTCATTTCCAATTTGTATTGTGGAGAACAAGATAACATTTAAAGATCAAATTCAGTTTCCATGGTGCTTCCTCTGGGGCTGGTAGCATAATTGTTTGTACATTATCAGGAGCATGACTCCTAGAACCTGTGCACTTTCCCTGACTGTGATACATCCACCTTTTGGGCTACATTAGTTGGATATTGTCTAGTACTTTTTTAATTGAGAGAGCTAGAGTAAGGTGGATTGAATTCTGCCTCTGATGTATCATCCAGCTGCCCAGGAACCTCTCTTAACCATGAGAAATGTATCTAAGTCCACGTTTTGGTGTGTCCTTAAATCCCAGATTGAGCTTTCAGATGAAAGTGTTCTAGAGAATGTAATGGGCTCTTAAGATATTCCTGAGTTATTGAAGTAGATGAGTAAATAGATCATTGTGATCTAGTAAGGCTAGTGTGTGAGAGAGGGATTTACAGGTTTCTCAGGAGGACAGAGATGGAAGTTGTTCACGTTCTTTTCTTTTGGTACCCTAACACATTCTAACAGGAGAATGACAATTAAGCAGGCTTACAGGGAGCAAGGAAAGGACACAAAACAGGGCACATTTACAGAGGTAATGCGAACATAGGAGGAGAACATTTTCTATAGATGTAGTGGTCAGAACCTATCAATTCAGATGAAGCGCATTGAGGAATAACTTCAGACCATGGGGTTGGTAACTCTGCAGTTGATTCAGAGCATCATTGATCTTCCTGTACTTGTAACCATACATCTTTGGATATCAGTCTCATGCCAAATTGTGTATAGTGAGAATCTTAAACAAAGAGTCACCTCATTTTTTGCTATGTATTTTTTTGATGCCTAGATTGGGTCTGGGAGTTGTACATATCAAGAAGTGACAGACATAATTTGACAAAGAGGCAAAAAAATAACAAATAGGAATTCATGGTGATTCAAGATTCTGTGGAAGCACGAATATGATGAGGTACCTATAAAGAGGGCTTGAATTACTACTGCTGCAGGAATCCATTAAGCATCATAGAGGGGAAAATGACACAGTACACATGCCTTGAAGGAAGTAATTCAGACCAGTGATTCTTAGCTAAATGGGCAGTATAAAGATGAGGCTTGTACTGTTATGTTGTTGGAGGTTGATGAAAGGGGTCCATGCCCATAGCTGAGAGCAGAAAATATGAGGAATGGAAGAAAGTGAGACTGAACATCAGACAGCGGACAGGATGTGAAGGGCTCTGGTCAAGCCATTGAACCTTACCTTCATCGGACAGGTTAGGGGAGCCATTTAAAGTTTTAAAAGTGAGGGAATGACATGTTTAGGTAGGTGAATTTTGAAATATGCTAGGGTAAATATGTTACTGGCCTTTTCTGTTGTGCTAGAGGAACAAAATTGAAACAATATTTGAGTCACCTCCACTCAGCTCTCCAGAGAAGGGATATGAATGTTTTTTAGAAAAAGATTGGTTAAAACTTGAAATATCAAAAGAGCAGTTTTAATGTGGCAAGGTTATTAAAATTGTGATATAGAGCCTGTCCCATAATTTGGTGAATGAAGGGTGCCTGATAAGTTGAGATATAAAGTGGGCAAGCAAGTGTGTCCATATTGTGTGCCTCTGTCCGCCAACCATCCTTCCACATCCTGTTTATTCAACCCACCTCTAATTAAGGAATTTACTTGCATCCTTTTTGTCCAGTTTCACAGCACAGTGTTTAAGGTACAAATCTGTGTTTGTTTTTCTTTTCCAGGCAAACGGATGTGTGCAGGAGAAGGCTGGCTCGCATGGGGCTGTTTTTGTTCCCTGACCACTTATTTTACAGACTTTACCTGAACCTCTGGTTGACCCAGAAAATATTGACACCAGTGCCATTGGCCAAGGGTTTGGCATGTGCACCTTCATACCTGCCCACTTTCCTTTTCCTGTGTGAATGGCAGTTCTGCCGTGGATGCTGCTTGCTTGTCACCTGCCAACTTCTCACAATGGGGCCCTTATCCACGTTCTTCCCACATCATGGGTTCTAATTCCCTCAGCTCCTTTTCACATATCTCTCCTTCTCTCATCAGTTAACATACAATCTCTTAAGCAGAATTTTCCAGGCACTGAACCACATACATCTGCTATTCATTATATTCATAGTCCTTGTATTGACACCCACAAGTGCTAATATTAATTATGCCAAGTTACTACTGGGTAACACTGTAAAACAGGAAATGTTAGAATATGACAATTCACGAGCTATTTGTCCCTGCATGTTCTGAATAAAACCTATTAATCAATTACTGGGTCAAGTTCTGAGACTTTCCTTTTGTGCATAATCCAAGTCAGAAATTAAAGAAAATAGAGTCTCAAGAGGTCATGCTGTGTTCTCATAAAGATGTGCATTGAAAGGGAGCAAAGAGAAGATGGCAGAAAGGCTCTTTTTGCAGAGTATCTCCTGCAGTTACTGGAGATTTGGATTTGAAAGAGAGACACTATTTCCAGGAACAACTCATTGAGGGGATCAGCCATAGGGAGGGTGAACATTAGGTACTATAACTCATGTCTCTGATTTGGTGTTTCTGTGAATATTAATGAAAGATTTTGAATATTCATTTGCTTTTAATGTTTTCCACTTAGAGTTAAGCTAGGGAATTTTATGTGTATTCTAGTTATATGTTCCAATATTCTTCTTAGCCCTTACACATGTTCTATTGCTTTTCTGCTTTCCACAGTACTGTTTCACATGCAACATAAATGTGATGGCAATTTGATGCTATGGACCTAAAGTCATTAGTCTTATATACCATTTCTAGTGTATGGACAATTGAACACATCAAGTTCTAGTCCTCTTTTTTCCTTTTTTTTTAATTTTTATTTTTTTCATTATGTGCATACAAGGCTTGGGTCATTTTCTCCCCCCTGCCCCACCCCCTCCCTTACCACCCACTCCACCCTCCCTCTCCCCCCACCCTCAATACCCAGCAAAAATATTTTGCCCTTATCTCTAATTTTTGTTGTAGAGAGAGTATAAGCAATAATAGGAAGGAACAAGGGTTTTGCTGGTTGAGATAAGGATAGCTATACAGGGAGTTGACTCACATTGATTTCCTGTGCGTGTGTGTTACCTTCTAGGTTAATTCTTTTATCTAACCTTTTCTCTAGTTCCTGGTCCCCTTTTCCTATTGGCCTCAGTTGCTTTTAAGGTATCTGCTTTAGTTTCTCTGCATTAAGGGCAACAAATGCTAGCTAGTTTTTTAGGTGTCTTACCTATCCTCACCCCTCCCTTGTGTGCTCTCGCTTTTATGTGATCAAAGTCCAATCCCCTTGTTGTGTTTGCCCTTGATCTAATGTCCACATATGAGGGAGAACATACGATTTTTGGTCTTTTGGGCCAGGCTAACCTCACTCAGAATGATGTTCTCCAATTCCATCCATTTACCAGCGAATGATAACATTTCGTTCTTCTTCATGGCTGCATAAAATTCCATTGTGTATAGATACCACATTTTCTTAATCCATTCGTCAGTGTGGGGCATCTTGGCTGTTTCCATAACTTGGCTATTGTGAATAGTGCTGCAATAAACATGGGTGTGCAGGTGCCTCTGGAGTAACCTGTGTCACAGTCTTTTGGGTATATCCCCAAGAGTGGTATTGCTGGATCAAATGGTAGATCAATGTTAGCTTTTTAAGTAGCCTCCAAATTTTTTTCCAGAGTGGTTGTACTAGTTTACATTCCCACCAACAGTGTAAGAGGGTTCCTTTTTCCCCGCATCCTGCCAACACCTGTTGTTGGTGGTGTTGCTATGATGGCTATTCTAACAGGGTGAGGTGGAATCTTAGTTTTGCATTTCCTTTATTGCTAGAGATGGTGAGCATTTTTTCATGTGTTTTTGGCCATTTGAATTTCTTCTTTTGAGAAAGTTCTGTTTAGTTCACTTGCCCATTTCTTTATTGGTTCATTAGTTTTGGGAGAATTTAGTTTTTTAAGTTCCCTATATATTCTGGTTATCAGTCCTTTGTCTGATGTGTAGCTGGCAAATATTTTCTCCCACTCTGTGGGTGTTCTCTTCAGTTTAGAGACCATTTCTTTTGATGAACAGAAGCTTTTTAGTTTTATGAGGTCCCATTTATCTATGCTATCTCTTAGTTGCTGTGCTGCTGGGGTTCCTTGAGAAAGTTCTTACCTATACCTACTAATCCAGAGTATTTCCTACTCTTTCTGTATCAACTTTAGAGTTTGTGGTCTGATATTTAGATCCTTGATCCATTTTGAGTTAATCTTGGTATAGGGTGATATACATGGATCTAGTTTCAGTTTTTTGCAGACTGCTAACCAGTTTTCCCAGCAGTTTTTGTTGAAGAGGCTGCTATTTCTCCATCATATATTTTTAGCTCTTTGTCAAAGACAAGTTGGTTATAGTTGTGTGGCTTCTATTCTGTTCCACTGGTCTTCATGTCTGTTTTTGTGCCAGTACATGCTGTTTTTATTGTTATTGCTTTGTAATATAGTTTGAAGTCAGGTATTGATACCTCCAGCATTGTTCTTTTGACTGAGTATTGCCTTGGCTATTCGTGCCTCTTGTGTTTCCATATAAATTTAACGTAGATTTTTCAATCTCTTTAATGAATGTCATTGGAATTTTGATGGGAATTGCATTAAACATGTAGATTACTTTTGGGAGTATAGACATTTTTACTCTGTTGATTCTACCAATCCATGAGCATGGAGATCTCTCCACTTTCTATAGTCTTCCTCAATCTCTTTCTTCAGAAGTTTATAGTTTTCCTTGTAGAGGTCATTCACATCTTTTGTTAGGTTTACACCTAGGTATTTGATTTTTTTTGAGGCTATTGTAAATGGAATTGTTTTCATATATTCTTTTCAGTTTGTTCATTTTAGTGTATAGAAATGCTAATGATTTTTCTATGTTGATTTTATATCCTGCTACCTT